ATCGTGATATTTCTTGCAAAGAATACCAGCGAGACACTATCGCAAACTACACAGAGGGGAGAGATGTGTTCGTCAGCGTGCCGTGTTGACATTCGTCTTGTCAAAAAGAACTCGTTTCGAAACCAGGGCTCCCCCTCTTTCAGCTGTCATTCTCGTAGAGGGAAATGCCTGCGACCTTTCCAAAAACTCTCGCTTAGTTTGTTAAACTTTCTTCTTGAACTCATCCGTGTTTTTATGCAAGGTCGACGCTCTCAGTCCACATTTTCTGCACGCGTACGAACTGCAAGATGTAGATCGATCGTCTCTGCCACAACAAATTCAATTTCTTCGCATGTAGTAGTTTTGTTGATTCCGCAAAAAAATCTCCTCCGGTTTTCTATATTTCTTATTTGACTGCCACAAACAATGCACGTTGTTTCTTTGGTTCTAGGCGATTTAATAGTTTTCTTTGATGTTTTGATTGGAATGACTGTATTCATTGTGTTCAACGACAACCAAACGCATTCAAGAGCTCATTTAGAATAAATTTGCATATAATTTATTTCGTATCGTCAGCATCAACTATGAACTATTCATATCAACTAGACACCTGCAGACGGGGACAGTCTCTCGGGCCTAAAGCCCCTCGCGTAAATGCTTGGCATTTCCCAGGATACTCAATTACATTAGGCCCGAGGACATCGACAGCCCCGATTATACTTTGTAATAAATGGACAAGTATCATCACACCTGGGTCGATTATATGGCAAGGAACAATATTTCGCGGGGTCACTCGTCCACTAGTTTGAACCGACAGCTTCCTCACCATACTCGTCACCAACATGTCTCGGATATAATTCTGGTTTCGTACAAGATACAAGAAAATTAAATACTCTTCATGAGTCTTTAACATGATAAACATGCATACATGTATCTCGAACCAAAAGAATTGTCCATCGCAACTCTTAGTTTCTGTAGAAAAATTAGTTACCATTAAATTAAAACAATTACCATTCAAAACCAATTCCGCTAGACTCAACAGAACATGAGAGCCTCAAAAACTGCCCCTTGATGAGACAATGGGTCTACCGGAGTTGTTCACCTTGTAAATTTTGGGGTTTTACCTCTTCACCATTAGTAGCAAAGCCATTAATGACGTAAGCTATGTCCCCGTTGTAATTCGTCGGTGATATCCACATCAAGTGTATGACATTTATTTACTACATGTCTGTATTCGTTGAATAGAAATTAATGGGTTAAACTAAATGGACAAAACAAATCCCCAAATCGTCTTGTTTGACTGTCGTTTTCTTAGAACAAGTGTGTGTTTTACCGATATAAATAAAATAAATATTAAATATTATATATATGAATAAGTTAAATATGACCTGCACTGTTTAACGTCAGCGATTTTGGGCTTAGAATGTTTCATCACTGGTCGCAGAGATTTACCGAATTGGCACGGCCAGTCGGCACAGGTTTTTGTCGCACAACGCTGCTTGGGCTATCAACTTCCGGGGTCAGGAGTCATGGGGTTGAAGTTGTATGTGTTTACATGTGCTGTGTTGCCGCTAACATTTCTAGCGTTGTTTGCTATATAATGATTTTAGTCGCGCTGAGTTTGCCAAACAAAATTATTTTGGTATTATTTAATTATAATAATCGATCGGAGTTGTAAACCATATCAATATTCGAATTATGTGTATTCAAAAATTACGTACAATTGGCACGTGGTATTTATTTATAAACAATTTTGAGATCATCAAACTTTCATAATACAGAAAACGCCACCAACGTCGACATTTTGCATATAATGTCATAGTTTCGAGCCTTAATTATTTATACACTTATGATGTTTAAGTTTCGTTGGTTACATTCAATGTACTTATTGGAATTTATTTAGCAATGAAATAGGTAATCTGTATTATTATTATTTACAAACGAAAAGCTTGCTTAAACACACTGATAATTATTTATAAACAATGTATTTTTCCGCATGACACATAAATAATATAACACATACCTTCTCAGTGTATACGACACACAATTGTTAATACCTAGAAATATAAACAAAGACTATAATACGTTGATCCTTGGTTTGTAAATATACGCTGCAGCACCGACTGAATTCAATTCATCCTTTTCGTGTTTGCCTGTGTATAAAATATCTTGAATTTTAATTAAATATATACTATATAGTAGGAATCGGGTTATTTATAAAAAAAAAAAGCATTTACGGCTGATTTCTATATAATAGATTTGAAATATCATGCTTTATTAATAAAGATATCGCATTCTTTAATAATAAGCTTATATCTATAAAAAGAAACCCATAGAAATAAATGCACAAACGGCTGCGGCGAGATTACCATGATCGTAATTTTGCGGAATCCTGTATAAAAAATATATTCTTCAAACTCAACAAATGTTTTGAGCATACTAATAATGTTATCTTCAGTACAGAAAGGTTTTGCATAGTCTTGCTCATAACAAAGTATGTGGATTCATATCTACCTACCATGTAATTGTAACAATTTTTATTTGGTTGTCATTCGGTCACTAAATGCTGTCATTAGATCAGTAAAAGCTGTCATTCGGTATTAAATAGTGTTAATTGGTCAGACTGTCATTCATTATTCAATACTGTCATTCGGTCACTAAATGCTGTCATTTGGTATTAAATAGTGTTAATTGGTCAGACTGTCATTCATTATTCAATACTGTCATTCGGTCACTAAATGCTGTCATTTGGTATTAAATAGTGTTAATTGGTCAGACTGTCATTCATTATTCAATACTGTTATTCGGTCACTAAATGCTGTCAA